TATATATATATATATATATATATATATATATATATATATATATATATATATTTAAAATTCCTAAAACCCATTAAACCGATGACTCAAATAGATTTATTATATATGTTGCGAAAAAACTGCTTCCGCCAGGACTCGAACCTGGAACCTTCCCACTTTTCGGGCGGGATGCCTTTCCATTCGGCCACCGAAGCTTCGACAGTAATCTCGCAACACAATGTTTATAAATTCTCTAAGGTATAAGTTGAGAGAAAGAAAGACCTCGTAAGAGATTTTTCTAATTTTTCTGTAATTTTTCTTTATTTACAGGTTTTTCCTTTACATGAAAAACTTGTGACAACCAATCCTGAGTACGGGGTGAGTAGTCACATGTGCACGACTTTGCTTACTAAACTTAATAATTTTTTTGTACATAAATATATATAAGGATATTATTTCATCTAAAGATTAGGTTATAAAAACTATATAAAAACGTGCGCAATAAAAAATATTACATACATCTTCTTTTTCTAATCAGTATGTAAACAGTGTGACAACTAGATCTGGTCCAAAATGTTTTTACCGTGGATGTCTCGTTAGACATGTACACATGTCACAGTCATCGTGGGTAAAGGATTAGCAATCTCGAGAGAATCAGCGTCGGCCATTAATTTTTCGTAAAACGAGCGTTATTAGCGTGGTTGGCTAGCATCTGTCACGCGCTAACTACCCTAATCTCTGCTACGCCGATTGCATTTGTAAGGGGAAGCGAGGTGCGGTCCGAAGTCGAAAGTTAGTATCACGATATGCGCCCTGTTAGGAGCAGCTTGTCAAGAGTCGAGAGACGGGTAACCAGGATAGTGTTAACTATCCGCCGACACATAATTATCAATTTACGTGCTCACTCAATTAAACATTGAGATACCGACAGATCGTGTGAGCGAATTTCAGTGTGGCGAATTCTGTTTTCTTTTTTTTTTTAACGCTTCTCTCTGCTTTCTCTTCAGCCGATATTAAATACGGCACTGATCGCACGGCGCGGCGTGACCCGCGCGATTTTTAATTACGTTTTTATTAATGACGGCTCCACGAGATCTAACAGTTGTAATTTATAGCGCGGAAGTTGCGCGCATACGAAAATCTTCACGGAACATTTGAAAAATGGACGAAAGTTTCAACCGAGAGAGCGCGACGAGAGAAATTCACTCACCTGCACCATCAACGAGATCGCCACTAGTCCTTGACTTTTGTGCTGCGCCTCGCTCATATTGTGATACAGTTCGGCGTTAAAACCGTAGACTTGTATCTGTAACAGAGAAAACCGCAAAGAAATTACTTCCCCGGTGGAATCGTGCCGCCAGCATAATCGTATCTCCCGCAACGCCGACAAATTTCGTCCTCGCACGAACAAATTCTCGAGTTTAGAGTTTAGATTCCGGAACATTTCGTGCTCGAGGGCGCCTCATGCCACCTCGTTTCCCTCGTTACCCCTTGCTCCTATCTTCTCTCGAGATCGACTCGCTACAATCACATCTCTCGTCGACAATCGCCGGCTTTATTGCATCTAATTAAGCGCGCAGCTCGAAATGTCAATTTTTGTTTCAGACAATTTTTTCGCACGTCTCTACAAACGCTGGTGCACGAAAACGCAACGCCACTCGATAAAAAATGATAATTCCAACGATATTAAATTTTTGTGGAATGCGAATCTTCTCGTTGCAATTTTATATATTTTATATAAACCAGTGATACATATACACACAGAAAAATCGATTCAAGATTCCACTACATTATTGGCATTCGAAATATTCGTCTTTATCGAAAGATGTCAATTTTTGTCTCAACAATTTTTTCGCACGTCTCTACAAACGCTGGTGCACGAAACGCAACGCCACTCGATAAAAAATTATAATTCCAACGATATTAAATTTTTGTGGAACGCGAATCTTCTCGTTGCAATTTTATGTATTTTATATAAACCAGTGATACCTACACACACGGAAAAATCGATTTAAGATTCCACTACATTATTGGCGTTCAAAATATTCGTTTTTGCCTCTTCCATGTCTTAAATAAATATTTTGCAAATATTTATATCGAACCAATGCCTATTAAATCGCATACACGCGAGAGCATATAAATCTTGCAACTTCAGAGGCACCGAAATTCTTAAGCGCATACCATGTGTAGGTGCTTCTTTCCTTTGACATTTTTGCGCGCCTTCCTATGTTAGAAGCTTCGCGTTTGATAAACGGAAATATTCCTTCGTGCTACGTATTCTTCGAGAGATTATGGAACTTTTGCGATGAAACGATAACGGAACAAATATCATTCTTCTTTTTTCTCCCTCCTTCTCTCTCTCTCTCTCTCTCTCTCTCTCTCTCTCTCTCTCGTCGTTGCGATGGCCGTGTCCGCGAGATTTAATGACAGGCAGCACGAGATATAATTCATATCTTTCAGAAACTCACAGCGCACGTAACTCGCAGGTAAGTCGTGAGACGGATCTATTGTCGACGTGCGCGCGCGGCCGCAGCGGCACGAGAGCGGCGTTCAGTTTATAGAGGAACGGAAAGCAAGTCGCTCGTGAAATGTATCTTGTTTTTGGGACATACATCTCGTTTCGTATCTCATTTCCCGCGAATGTCACCTGCTATATAAGTTCTGTATGCTGGATAAGGCGCGGGAAAGAGACACCGACGCACGTGTGCTCCCCTCGCGAAGAAAAGGATTTCGCCGCGATCGCTTCTCTCTTTGCAATATTCCTCTTCCACCCTCTCCTCTCTATCTCCCTTCTCTCTTTCCCTCTCTTTCTCGTGTTTCTCTCCCCTCTTATTTTCTTCGTCAGTCCTTCGGCGTATCCATATATCTGTTTCTTTCGGCCGGTAATGGCATTGCCACGGCACTTCCGGTTGTGCCTAGGGGTATTCGAGATGCCCGCGACGCGACGAGTTCTTCTTCAAAGACGGCAGCTATGCTGCTGCAGCACGACGAATGGAGGCAAGAATATGAAGAAGAAGAGACGCGGAAATAGAGTGAGTACGCGCGCGCGCGCGAGAGAGAGAGTATGTGTGTATGTAAAAGGAAGTGAGAGAAAGAAGAGGAAAGAAGAGAGACAGCAAGAGAAGAAGCGAGAGGATTGCCGCGAGTGAGTGTAAATCCACTGCGTCTGATCAAAGTATGACTCTAGTACTACTAGGAATAGGAAAGATTCTCTCTTTCTTCTCATTTTCGTGAAATTTCCTCCTCCTCCCCCTTCTGCTACTCCTCCTCCCTCCTCCTCTGCTCTGCCTTCAATACAGCGTTCCCATCTTTTCTGCCTTTTAGCAGGATATTTTCCTCTTGGTGGCATTCCGCTTGTCGGAAGAACTTCTATACCGTCACAACGGAGTGCCGAAAAATGTTGTGCTCTCCGGGACATGTATGTGTCACGAGGGACCATTTGTCGATATCGATACGGTGAGAATGAAATTACGCGGATGATGTTCATTAGAGCGTTACGAAATGTGCTTTACGAATTTAAAAGTAGAAGTAGATTGAAAAGTTATATCTGCATTCGCGCTTTATGTAATATCGAGCGACTAATTAAGGATACGGATAACGTGCTTTAATTTGCATGCGCGCGAATATTTATAGACGCGTAATAACATTGTGCCAGATGGTCAAATCGATCCTTCCATACGCAAGTGACCGGTAATAAAAAGAAAGGAATGTCCATTATTGTAACGCGCAACGTGCGCGCGTCTATTATTCGCCATTTCCGATTAGCTCTCTCCACGTGTTCTTGGTACTTTCTTTCTCGCCTGAGCGATATCGTGCCTCGCATTGCGAGATTCGCCACACATCCCCGCTTGAAACAACAGCTCGAGATAACTCGAAAAAAACACGAGCACAGCAACGAGACCATGAAAGCAAAGTTTGTCCGGCGTAACTTCCCTAGCGAATTCGAAAGAAGAAATTACGTGAATTAGCAGAGCGACTTATTTCGACGTTTGATTGACGGTTTTTACATGCAAACTGAAAGTTTCAATATTTATCGCGAGTAAACAGCAGCGGAGAAGTTAGCTACGAAAACAACAGCGTCTGGAGAATTCAGCGAGCATTCGTTCGAACTTCATGAAATTTAATGCATGAATATATTTCAAGACTATCCGCAGAGCTAGCTTTAAGGTAAATGGGATGGGTAGTGCGCATTTAACCGTAACTTTTACCAACATATTCCAATTTCTAAGCGTATTCTGAGTGCGGGCGACGTAACCTTATATGGCGCGCGCGTTTCGATATACTTTTCATAACGTTGGAATTATGAATCGCGTCGCTCTCGAATCGAGGTGACGCGCGTTTCCACCCCGTTGTTTTTGCCCTTCGCTCGGAAGCACGATCGTATGCCTTCGTTCTTCCGCGCGTTATTTCGCGAGCTCGAATAAAATTCCGCGGCTGTTAGCGCTCCGCGCGACCATCTCAAAATTCGTTGTCACGGGCGAGCGAGATCCTGCTTGACGATTGCCGAGCTAAGGCGCCGTGTATATATAGTCCGGGCTTTCTGAAATTTGCTACGCTCCGGAAATTCGGAATTCAGCGCGGCTACACGCGAAGTGCCGAGCTGGCCTTCGCTCTCCTTCGCTTCACGTACACTATCCGATCTCCTCGTATCTTCTGCGCACTCGCCTCTCATCCTGACCTGATGCCTCTTTCCCGACCGCCTCCTCGCACTTTACCCGGCCACTTTGCCACCACTGGAGCATAATCACCACCCTGGAAGACTGTGACGAACCCGCAAACACGGCCGTGCATTCGGTAAACGTATTATCCTCTTTTTAAGCAACAATCATATCTCATGATTATTTTTACACGCAAAATAGGACAATTATGCTGACGAAAAAATTACTCTGAAATCGATATAGTTCTTCTCGGTATCATGATAATGTTACTTTTACTTCCTCCCCTCTCCCACTTCGGTCATATTCATTATTGCAGAGGACAGCTATGAACCCCTTAATCTCTTCAGTGATGATTTAAAATGACTGCGCGATTTTCCCCAGAGAGGGATTTTTTGGTAATAAGTATATCTAGATTTATTTTTTTCTTGTGGCTATTTCTTTTTTTCTTTTTTTCTTTTTTGAGGGACTTTGGGAAATAAAACACAAAATATATCTAATTTGTATTTTCTGTTTGAGTTAAAGAAAAACATAATAGTTTAAGTGAAAATCAAAAGCAATTTAGTCGTTCACCACGGAACTTTTCCGGGTAATATCACTTAAAGGGGTTAAAGTGGAGCAGTAAAAATGTTTCTAATTGAATTAGTAAAAGGAGTATATCTCCTCGGTAATCAGCGAATATTCATTGATTTTCAGTGGAAGCACTGTCACCTTACTGCTCCGTGTTGTATCTCACTGATTTGGATCAGGAAGATTTCACTATAAAATCTGCAATGTACAAATTCGTTATACGCTGTACCAAAACTAACTTTCTGCGTTCGCGACGATGAAATTAACGGGTTCCATGCGCCTTGCATGCGAACACTGTCTGTGTTTGCAAATTGCATGAATAATCCTAACAACCACTATTATAACTGATTCTTTCAGTGGTTGATTTTACTGATTGATTGACATAACTGAACTACCAGTTGCAAGTGTAATATTTCAGTGAAGAATACGCTGATTGTACTTGATAGAGTTATGAAGAGAGAACGCGATGTTTCAAATTATTTTGCACGATAACACTCGACACAGTACCAACACTAAGCAGTAATAGTAACTAATATGACAACACTAGTTAACCTATTGGCCTGGACCTACGAGGCTATCTCGTAGTTACGATACAAGCTGCCCGAACCGGACACACGAAGCTGTCTCGCGTACAAACTTTACCTGAATCTGATTACACAGTAACTCGCATGGCTTTGACACTTTTGCTATGATAATGATAATAATAATAATAACAATAATAATATCGCGCTCTTTACTAGTCACAAACAAGAAATAAAATAAAAATAAATTTTAATACAAAACTAATATAGAGGAAATTGGTTAAAAATAAAACAGTTGTCGTTAGTTTCTTGTTTTAAGTGAGCCGTTTTTTCGTGCGAAAAGCAACTAGCACGATAAAATAGCTCGTTTAAGACAAAAAACTAACGACAACTGTCCCAAAGTTTATTAGGATCTGATTTGCCTCGGACGATCCTGTACTCCAACTAAAAAGCGAGTCTACAGCGACGTATAACTGCTATGACCGTTTTATCTGAAAAATTGAGACAGTTGATGTATACATGAAAGAAAAACGCAAATAACTAAAACTAAAATATAGCGT